AAAAAAAAAAAAAAAGAGGAACAAAAAAAAAACTTATGAGTAACAGATATCTTTAAAAACAGTTATGATCAATTAAAATCCTACCAAATAAAATTATTTAAAAAACAGATTGGAAAAAAAAGCATGTTTAAAAAATATTACAAAATACAAGCCTACATTAACAAAAAAAAACAAAACAACATGCTATTGTGTTTGCTTTTGTTATGTTTCTGACCCACCAGACTTTCTGGGATTAATAATAATATAGGGAAGGTTAGAACTGAGACCATTGCAACAATTATTGCCTGTACAGGAACATTAAAATTTGTTCACAATATTAAATTATAATTATGAGTGCTAACCCAGCTTACTCTTTGAATATTTTGTTTAATGACAACATTAAAAAAAATATTAATGAAAATAGAATATTAGTACAATGTGGAGTTATATATTTCTGTAAAGGTTATTCTAGTAAATTTCATGCACTTGGTACTCCAGCCATTTTCTTATTGAATTCTTAGTGGTTTCCCTCGAAATTTCTCAAATTCAACTTCATCAATGTTTTTGTCTTTATAATTTACACCTGGGATCACCAAAATTTTTATTATATAATGGTCACACTGCAAGGATCACATCAGAGAAATTTGTTTTTGGCATTCATAATTACCATAGCATTACAATTTGATTTTTAACTTCCCATTAGGGAAAAATTCAATCCACTTAAAGAGGGCCAAATGGGCCACATGCTTCAACTTCCTATCCTATGATTCTTAAAAAATTAATTAAAAAATTTAATTTCTTTTTAAAATTTGAAATTAAAAATATAATTTTGTATATATTCCTAACTGATATAACTTTGAAAGCCATGACAAGTTTACATACATATTTTGACCAAGTAATTTACATACATATTTCCCAGCTGTTACTGTTAACAGTAATCAGTGTTAAGTCTTTTCTTACCAATCACTTTCTAAACATTCAGAAAATTGGCTTAGGTTACCTTTTTTTTTTTTTTTTTTTTTACATTAAAAATTTGAAAATTTAAAGTAATTATTTACTGCCTGTTATAATCTGTAGCTGAAAGCACACTAGAATTTAACATTGTTGCTATTTTGATTGATGGTCATAGAGGAGAGCATAGTTCAGTTGTGACGTAAGTGTAACATTATGCCAATATCAATGAATTGTACAAAGTAAGATAGCTTGGAATACCTAGTTTTTGAAGTATGTTGCGTCTTTCACCAGGCAATAATGACCATTGTAAAATCAAAATATTATTTTTTCACTAATTATTAATAATGGAAAATAAAAACTCTATTAAAAATATTTTTTAAATAAAATTTCCCCAACTTAGTACGTTTCAATCTGTCTGTAATGACCAAGGAGATTTGTCTGCACTGATACCATATAATGATAATTAAATATGAATTAACTTGTAAAAATATTTGAAAAAAAACCAACAAAAAAACTTTGTATATCAGGAATTTAATTAACTAGGTTGGCTTGCAAAAAATGCTTATTCGACACATTGTCCCAAAAAGTTGCTTTTTAAAGGATATTAGAATGCTAGTTGTCAGATCCTGGGGCCACAGCAATTACTCAGATCTGCATGGACCAGGTTTTATTCTTTACTTTTTTGTGTTAATGTCATTGAAAATGGTCTTTCTAATTCTGACTTAATATATTCTTACAAGCAGAGATTTAAATAGAAATCCAAAGCACTGCTTATCACTAGGAAAATTTATTAAGTGAACCCATGAGTTCCCCTTAACTTCCGGTCTCTTAAATTTAACATTTTTTTTTTTTTTGCAAGACCCTTTCAAAGAATAGACTTAAAAAGTTTAATGAAATATGTTTAAAGTATGGTACTGGGTTTTAGAACTTGAAAGTTGAGAGACAATGCAATTAATTTTTTTTTCTTCCAAAAATTGGTTGACCTTAATTTATATTGATCTAAAGACATCCACTTAAAAAGTTCACTGCATCAACAGGGGATGTTAGGTATCTCAGTAAAAATTATTTTATTCCAGGCAAATAAAGCCAAAAGTTTCCCAACAGTTTTGGCAAACAGGTCACATGAGCAAAAGCTCCACCTAAATGAGGATTGGATTACATAACTATACATGTTTTTTTATTTTATTGTTATTTAAGGTTATTTTTATTAGGAGAGAATGTTATTCCTAGTATTTCAGGATGGCAGGGCGCTGATCTTAAAATAATTGATCACATTTTATCTAACCTTTCTAATTTGATGATTTGATTGTAACCAGTCACAGTTCATTTTCAATTTTTGAAGGAGATGAAAAACACATTTTGTAACAATGCATCAAAGGTATAACCAACATTCCCCTGTAAAGTTTCATCATGAGCACAGAACAACGATGGCCAAGCCTTGCAAGCCAACACTTTCTCATTACAATTGGTAAACAAGTGACATATACGCCACTATCGTAAAACTTAAAAACTTTACAGCTTAATTCACTTCTCAGAGGAAAAATAAATATGCCGAATGAATGTGAGCACATTATGCCTTTGAGGAAGGGAAAGAAATGCCTATAAAGAGTGTGTATGTAAAGGGTGCTTTGATGGAGCAAACAAAACTGACAATGTTATGGAATAATTGAATCATACATATTTTAAAATTACATAATCATCAAACATAAACATATAAGATATAGAGAGATGCAAAGACAACATCCAAGAACAATGGCTTTTTGTTTTGTTTATGGTAGCTTTGCACATTTCACATACAAATTAATCCAACTGTTCAGAAACATTTAAATTCACCTGGCAAAACTTGGACTGCTAGTACCAATACACATATTTGAAAAAAAAAACAAAAAAGACTAAACAGCAAAAAGTAAATTACAATCTACTCATCATTTGTAATTCTCAAGTTCAAGAAATTGTCAATTTGTTTAAATGGAATTGAAGGTTAAGCATGAATGAAATCAAACAAGTAGGCATCTCATTTAAACCTAATACATAATTTCTTGTTCTATCCACTTGTTAAGTACTTAAATAATTCTCAGAATTAAACAGACTTAAAACATGTGCTTAAAAAATAATCTCCAACTAAGGAGCTACACATTTAGACGAGATGTGAATTTATTTTCTCTCTATATGAACTAACAATTATCCTTTTATTACATTATCTTGCATATTGGTTAAAAAAAACTTCCCTTAGGATTGGAATGGTCTATACAGATTTATCTGACATAACGGTCTTTAAACCCCCCCCCCCCCAAAAAAAAAAAAGAAAGGAATTTGATGTAACTGTTGGGATGTTCCCTTACAAGCAGTTGTTGGGTCATAAAATATCAAGCTTTATATTTATGATTTGTTCTGAATTTAATACCGGGTATGTCTTGACTAAAAAGCTGTATAATTACTTCTTGGTATGTTTTTCCGTAAGATTTTCTAAACATTGTAGGGAACATAATAGTGAAAGCTCTAACAAGGAATGAAAGACAAATTATCAACCAACCCTACTAAACACAGGACAGAAGTTGTTTGAACTCATCATCAAACATATCTTTCACACTTTATGAGAGAAAATATTTTTAGACCAGGCAACACTAATTAATGTGAAACACTTTTTGATATTTTAAAAATAGAGCTCTACAAGTTACAAGTTGGAAACACAACTCCTCATTCTCCATGTGTTCTCTAAATTACAATTTCCGTTCAACTAATTTTTCTGCCGAACACTCTCAAATAAAACTGAAACAACTATATAAAACTGTAAGGGGCCTCCTATTAATCAAGCTTCCCGCTTAAGAATTATTTTTCTTTTGAAATAGACCTTTCTATCTGTGCAAACAATGGCAAGCTCTGATGTACGTTAACACTGACATGGAGTTTAAAGAATGCTACAAATATCAAGAAGAACCAATAATAACATATAAATATGCTGGCTTCATCTTCAGATATCATGTATTTTTTACTTTTTAGGAGATACTATAAATATAAAAATGTTTTCAAATCACACTAGCAAACAATTAGGAAATATTTCAGAGCAAACTAAAAAAATCCTACAGAATTTTTACACAGCCAGTTCAAAATCCAAAAGCAATACATAACTATAAAAGGTGCAAGTATATGTGAACAAAAATATGCTAAAGCTAAAAGATGAATCATCCATTAAGCATTAGCCTTGCATCCTAGCGATACACTTTTACACACATTAACATAGTATGTCATAAAAACGTAGAGGTGAAGCATTAATATTTTAAAAATCCATGGAAACAATAATGATGCGAGTTTTTGCAAAGACACTTTCACCACAAATATGCAGAGAAGACATCATAAGACTACTAATGATTGATTTAATCTTATAAAACATTCAGCCCAAAGAAAAGAAAATTTTAAGTGTCACAGAAAAGTATACCGGTAGTATAAACATTAACATTTTTACCATAATCCCACACAATTTCATTTGGAGCTACAATAACGACTGGCAATCGGTAATTAAAAAATATTTGTGAATTTTTTTTTTAGCTCGAAAGAGTTATATTTTTTGTCTTGTCAAAATGTTTTATCAGTTCATCCCTGAAACAAATGAAAACTCTTAATGTTGGTTCAGTTAGTTTATGGCCAGTTATATTCTTATTTATAAAAGACTAGTGTTTTAAAATCAACATGAAAAATCTCCAAAGAAATGAGTACTTCTCATGTACTGTCTAGCTTTCATTAAAAAAATATATTTACAGTGCATCCACATGGCAGCACCCCCACCTGTGACAAAGAAAAAGTTGATGATAAAGTTTATTTTAATGTTCAGACTTTAAATTCAACAGAATCACATGTGTACTTTTCAGATTAGATGTTTGGCTTTGCAAAAAAAAAAATAAAAAAAAAAAAAACCAAAAAAAAAAAAAAAACAAAATTTTTTTAAAAAAAAAAAAAAAAAAACAAAAAAAAATAAAAAAAAATCAAAAAAAAAAAAAAAAAAAAAAAAAAAAAAAAAAAAAAAACCAAAAAAAAAAAAAACAGCTTGTTTTTTTAAACAAAAAAAATAATGCCCCTAAATGTTTTAAAGTCAGTCCCAAGCAACAGCAAAAAAAAAAAAAAAATGCTTGATGCAAATACTGGTACTTAATTTAATGCACAAGTTAAATTGGCTAGAGCTTATAATATAAACTGTAGGTTAAATTTGGTTGGCTTAGGTAATGGAATCATGGCTAAGCCAAAATGAAATCATGAGTAGCTCACTTGATTATGTCACAGATGGGGAAGCACAAAATGCATTCCAATGGTCATGAAATCTATGTACATAATGATTAATTTGAGTGTACAATTAAAAGAAAAAGGCTAAGACTTCTGGACCCCTGACACAGGGACCGGGGTCCCACTATTATAATTCCATGTCCTGTGCCTCGTCCTCGGAGAAGTCACTCATAGAGGATTCGCTGGAAGAAGATGCCTGCTCTGCTTCACGAAGTGCTTCTTCAGTGGCATAACGCTGCACATAATCTGGTTCAAAAAAGATTTCAAGAAATAATGGATAGAGTAAATTATAATTAAATCTAGCAACAATGCAACTTGATACCGGTATTTAAGTATGCTCTTAAGTTTATTTCATGTCAAAGGACTGCTTTTCCTTAAATAAAAAAAATACATATTCGAATAACTTTTCTCTGCTGCAGAATCTCCCCCAACAGTTGGACTTGGTGTTAAACTTAATGAGTTAAGAAAATCACAATTGAAAACGAGGCAGCCCCCACCACCTAAAAAAATAAACCATTTCCTATTGTTGTACTAATTCCCTAATGACCTAGAAAATTATAAAATTTTAGTATTGTATAAAATTTTAGTATTGTTTATGTTTATGAAACAGAAATCATGAAATGATTGTAGCTAAATGTATCAATATTTAAGGGTCCTAAAGTCATAAAACGTCAGCCTTGAAGTGAGTTTATTAAGGCTCAGCATTTAAACAGTCAGCAAAAATTTTATTATTATTTTAAAATTCACAACTCTTAAAGAATTAAAATAAAAGAGGAAATTATTTCTTTATCCACTCTATGCCTATGCCTTCCCCGAGATATTCATTTAAACTTAAAGATAAAAACAATTGCATTTTATGCTAAAACAGCTTCAATATGTTGAAAAGGCCAGGATCCTTCTGTGGTACCATAATTTTAACTGTTAAAACTTGCATCTCTAACAAAACAGCAAAACCACAGTTTAATGCACAGACAAAATTGTAAACATAATATGATCAACAGAAATAATCCACATACCCCTGACTCTCTTCTTGTATTCTTCTGGTTTGTGAAGGTATAAAGCTGCAGCATCACCATTGAGTGGATCTATGGGGTTGGGGTAAGTGAGCAGTTGGGGCAGGAACGATTCAAAAATGTTGGAAAGATCTGGAAGAGACAATAAGTTAAATGCAAAAGTTAATAAAAAACACTAATTGTTGTGTCATACTTGTTTGCTTTCTGTCTTAAAAAATCATTGAATCATTTATTATTTTTATAAACAACAAAATAATACTAAAATTTTCCCATCTTAACAAAAAAAAAATTAAAAAATTAATACTTATTCCGGTACCGGATAACAGTTGGAATGTTGTTGACGACCTGACCCAAGGCTCTTTGAGATCCCCCTGGGAACCCCATCTCGAGGGACCCATCCTGCTTTTACAGAGGAAGGGTACCATGAGGTAGCGGCAAGCCATCAGAAACGCCAAAGGGGTAGGTCCCAAGCATTGACCTTACAAAGTAAGGAGTGGATTTCCTACTGCGGCCCACAATGACATCCCCGCCACCCCTGGGAAAAAACATGATCCTATATTTTGAGTCTGCGCAAATAGGGAAAGTCTTCACTGATACCTTGCGAAAAGGATTCCCCAGAGCTACTGACTTCTCAAATCCTAACAGTGTTTATCGCTAAGTGGTACTGGTCTCCTGGTCCTTACATAAACCCTACGAAGCGGCTGCCTAGGAGACGTGCCCTTAATGAGGGTTTCTTTTTCATCATCGATAACACCTTTGTTATCTACAATCTTTTAATGGCAGGCGTAATAATGTGCCCTAACCCTAGCCCCAACATGTTTGCCCAACATTTCCCCACATGATCCGTGTGGGTAACACTGCATTTGGCGAGTATGTACCCCATAGGTTTCCCGAGCCACGATTTGACTCCCATCCTGGGCCCATTTTGACTTGAGCACCATATGATGGACTGCAACCCGGATAGGGGGGTAATACTAATACTAATTCAAATATGTTGATTCATGTAGGTTCATAACCTAGGAGACCACAAAATCTTTTCCCATCCCTTATGATCATCTTTATAGTTTATTTTACAGTTATTTTTGAAAAATATCCACCTTTTCAAACATCCACATTTTAACACAGGGGAATACTTTTTTTAAAATTTGTCGATAGGTCAAATTAGTTGGAAGTGTTTTAGTACAGCCCTGTGAAGTTGATTAGACATTGTTTCAAAGCAGCACTTGTATGGGTGTGAGCAAATTTTCAAGTGCTTTTCAATGACATTGATCTAAATTGTAATCTTAATGAGAACATTTTTAAGTGAATATCAAATGCAAGACAAACCATTGGCTTGATAAGAATGAAAAGTCAAGTGTAAGGCATACGCTCTGTAATAGAACATGGCTAATATTTGATAATATCATTGGGATGTTAGAAATAGTTTTCATTATTTTAACTTAATTAAGAGAACATAAAGCACTTGATAGCGCGAAAGAGGAAGTCAATAACTATGAATAATGGGTCACTCAGCTCAGTAAAAAGCACTTAAAATTTAATGTGTATTGTTCAACATATGGATAGCTACAAATTTAAGTAATGGTTCTCATGATTTCAAGACAACACCCCCACCCCTGATGTCCAAGAAGATAATTTAAGACTTCCTATATCATAACTTAAAGTCATTTTAAAAAAAAAGTTTGATGGCAACCACATGAACAGGACAGACCGAGTTTTAAGGGTTCAATGTCAAAATATAGTTGAAAGATTTAAATCTAGATTTGTATTGCTGAATGCTAACAGGATATTTTCACAGACCTCACAGTGGCTGGAGCCAATGCTAAAAGTTCAAATAAGTTGTAAAGAGCTTTTATCCATTAAAAAAAAATGACATCATGATGAAATACCTTATAAAAATAACTAGAATATTGCATCCTACTAACTACACTCAAGCTATTGCAATACTGTAAATAAATAGCATCCCATCAACTGAACACTATCTGCATAACTGCATTACTATCAATAAATAAATTCAACTGACCATATAGTGCTGTCCAGGCTTGATTGATGACATCCAGACATACAGTTCCAGATCTAAAGAAAACAGGTGGATAATCAAGCAATCCATTTTAACAATAAAAGGAAGAGGAGTCAATGCTATTCAAGAGGCAATATACAATCAGTGTAGGTCCTCAAATAGAACACACAGTAGGTACAAAACTATTCATAAAGCAGTTTTTTTTATATTATTACCGATCTATCATATTAAATAAGTGGTATAATGAATTTTACTAGGAATGCTTCCAGAATCAGAGTCATTGTTCTTGGTGTTGAAAACAAAGCAGAATTAATAGAAGGTAGAGTAAGATTATCTTGAGAAGCATATAATTTTAGTTGCCAGGAAGGGGTATAGTTTATGTCATAAGGAATATAAATTTAGTATGGTTTTACATTTGCCCACTTTGAAGTAAAATAAACGCTTATGTGTATGTCTCACATTAATATATTTGGTTTTGTTTTAGCAACAATATTTTATACCAATAGCCCTCAGGGCTTCACATGAACTTCCCAGGGACTTGGTGGCCGCTCCAAGAAAATTCTAAATAATATTAACTTTTAAGACATATGGTAGGCATATGGTGCTCCCTCAAGACAAAGGTAGTCCTAAGGGGGTCCCCCATTACATATGATTCTAAAAATGGGCTCTGAGTCAAAAAGTTTGGGAACCACTGTTTTATATCAATTTTTGAAATCTGGAATGTCATTATAAAGCCTAAGGTAAAACTGATAAATTTACACTTACACTTCATCTATGTTAGGATGATATACACGATTCATGAAGCCTGGAAAAGAAATTATTTCAGCAAAATTTTAAAAATATAGAATCATACCAATGACTATTTAGTAATGCATTTTTAAATTATGGTACATAAAAGAAAGGTAATTTAAATAGGTACCAGTACAATTTCAGGTAAGTACACTTACCACTCATTCTAAAACAGCCAATTTTTAAGAGCAGATAATGTCATGAAGGATGTATTTAAGTTTCAACACACATTTTTGCCAAGGATAATTATGTTTAATTTAGGATAATAAATAGAGAAAGATTTAAAATAATCATGCTTTGTTATTATTTAGTACCAACAGGTCAATTATGAGTGAGATTCTTCCTCAAAGAAGGTACATCTGATTTTCCATCGACAATTCAATGTATACTTGAAGGTTTATTGATAAACATTAAGTTTCATATGGTCAGCACATTGTACACCCAGAAAGAAGATATTGGTGTAAGATGGATCTTACATGAATGAATAAAATCATGACCATTCAGACAGCTAACTTGCCTTAATTAATTATATTGTCACTTTATTTAGTCTTAATAGATCCGCAATGTACATATTTATTTATGCAATTATCTCTAATATAAATTTCTGATGCCATTTGGGAAAAATAACTAAACAAGCTTTATTTATTTCATAACTTTAAACTTATATAATGTATATCAAATTTATTGCTATTAACAATCTACCACATTTGGGGAAAAACTGGAATTAAAAGTCTCAAATTGTTTTGTATTGCAATAATAACAATTTAGACCTCATTTCAATAATTCAAGTTTTATCATCTGAACTTGGGGATAGATTTCAGCGACTTCATCATACCCATATGAATTAAAGTATGTCATGCCAATAGCACAGAACTTAGGGTCAGCTTAACAACCTATAATACTTGAAATATTTTCAGGACAAAATCAAAAGTGACAAGAAAGAAGTTTTATTAAGAATTTCAGTGTTTCTATAAATATTTCGTAAGACATAATTGTCTTGACTAGTTAAGACAAGAAATGGGGAAAAAAGTAAGAAAAAAAAATTATGAGGTTATCATATAACTAAATTTCCATTTGATGTGAGAAAAATCAAATCACTGGTTCAGAATCAATTAAGAATATTATTTTTTTCAAACTTTTACCCAAAATATGCAACATTAACACCTTATGTTTAGTATATTTCAACTATTATTTGTCATATAAAAAGCTCTTTCTGGAGAAAGTTTATTCTATGTGTAGTGGTGTTTGGACAGAAAACTTGAATAAAAATAAAAGCTAGAGTCTGAATGGTTATTTTTTTTATCGATTAAAATAATTATTCATGGCTCCTCTATCTTTCACTTCTGTAAATTCTGGATTTAACTGTATTACCGGTATTATTGATAATATTTTCTATACTTTTCTTTTTCAAAGGCACAATAGAAAAATAAATGTTAAAAAGCCATAAAAAAAGTTCCATAATTAAATATGGAAATAATTAAAAAGGTATTACAAAAGATGAGTATTTTGTTTTTAAACAGGATTGGTCTGAAATAATAATATTGCCCCATGGCAGTTTAAATAAATTATTAAGACAAAAAGTTCATCTTATCAAACAATACATGGCTTTTATACTATTATAGCCTGAAATACTTTCATTGATGTGAGCGTCTTTTGTTTAAACTTCAGCATTCTAACAGGTCTGGGAATATCAAAACTGGTCCTACTGGCTGTTGGCTAAGTGGTTGAATAAGTACTTTTGGCTGTGTGTTTGAAAGCCCATTGAATTTTAAAATTTAAAGAAACCCCCTCAAAACTTCATAAGACTCTCAAAGTCATTAAAAATATGTTAAAGAGACTGAGATAGGACATAGTTAATGATCACTCACTTTATAGCCAATTATAAGAGTTTATCTGAAATGGATGGTTTAAGTATGTTGTACTTTCACCTTCTACTGAGCCTGTTTATAACTCAGCACAGTGAAGAGCTCATTTTTCATGTTAGGGGACCATTCTTTCAATGACATCAAAATAGCAAAAGCAGAGTCCTGTTACAGTAGCAATGAACACACATAAAAAAATAAATTATATGTATAACCAAGGCTCCCAAACCCCCAAGAAGAACATGATTTGGGATATGTTTAAGATTTAATTAAAAGCGTAAAACAGAACTTCAGTCTTGTCACTGCTGATTTAGAAATAACAAATATTGGTTACAAAAATTATTCTTATTTTATTGACCCTTTGATCATAAGAGTCATGGATTTTTTTTTTACCTTTTAGATTTAGGCTAAATGTCTGTTAAAATACTTTATAGGCAAGAAAATCCAATTTTTTTTAATTTAAAAAAAATTATATTGTTAAATAAAAATTAAGAATTTAACTGTAGGATGTCATTCAGGGTAAATCAAAATGATATTGAAGTTGCTTGATAATGGTGAGTTCATTTAAACATATAGTATAAAATTCATTAAAACAAGATTAGTACAAAAAAGTCAAACTAAAATTCTTACCTATTGATGGAGATTTGAATGGATATTTATCTGGCAGGTCAACCCGCACTTTCCACACACCACCTTCATAAGGTGCTGTAATAAAATGAGATTATAAATCAGAATAAACATCATTATGATTAACAAATAAAAATGTCTTACAGAGCTAATCTATTTAGTATTATTTATATCTTAAATTTCCAACATTAATTCTATCATGTAACATGAAATCTATAATCTTTTGCATACTTACTTCCTGAGGGACCATAAAATTTCACCATAAATTCATTGAGGCCTCCAAGAATGGTTACTTCATGTTTGCTCTCAATTCTAATTTAAGGTTAAGGCTATAGAACAGTGGTTAATGGGGAAAGTTGTGAAAATTTAAGCTCATTGTCATAAAAGAATGTACATTTCATAAATCAAATTTAACCTTATAAGTTATTTATATATTTTTATGTATATCATTCAGTACACAGCATTTTTTACCATAATTATGTCTTGAATTGAAAAAAATAATTTCTTTACTCAAAAAATAATAATACTTAACACACTGACATGACTTATAAGCTAGAGTTCTATATTTATTTACAGCTTGGAGTTGGAATGAGATAATCTCAAAATTGCATCTTAAAAACAGATATGTTTGTTATGTTATATGTTAACTTATATACTTCAAACTATTTCAACATTTTCATTGTGGACCTAAAATTTGAAAAAAAATATGCATATGCTAAGAAATGAAAGGCGTTATTTATTATAACTAAGATAAGCAATTTAATTAAGTCCAAATTTTAGGACACCCCCCTATCATGGTCTATTATAGACTATAGATGATAGAATCTTGGTTATACCAGAAGTTTAAAACTTAAATGAAAATGCATTAAAATTAATTCATAGGCTAAAAACAACAAATTACTTTGAGCATTGCTTGATATTCATAATATGGAGAGTTTTTTGGAGATATGTATGTAAGTGTAAGTAAACATTTATAAACATCACTAGTTTAAAATAAAAAAAATAATTGTCTAACTTATTAATATTATGACTTAAATACATTACTCCTTATTAGTAATAATAGTTATGTTATGGGCCAAGCTACACTATTTATTATTTCAAATAAACCATGTCTTGGATACTTTAAAAGACACTGAAACAAAAGACAAAGCTTAAAATATAAATTAATCTAATACATCTAAATAAACTGTCTTGTGTCAAAATCACAAAGAAAATATGATAAATTCTGGGTTGGGTTGCTGGGTGGAAATTGCGTCATTATTATGACACATTCTCAATTTTCCATACAGTAATATAATTATTTCTTATAAAACCAAACAATGCGAAAATAGAAATGTATAGAATTATCAATCTTGCTCAACTTCAAAACAGTTGAGACCGTGTTTTTATTTTGCAAAATATATATTTTCGCCTAGTCTATAAAAAAAATGACCTCAGCTTTCCTCCAGCCATCGAAGCTCCAACAATGGCATCTGGAGTTTTTGTTCCTAAAAATACTTTTTCTCTGTAATTAAGCAAAATATTTTATTGGCTTTAAATGCATAATACAATAAAGGATACAATTTAACTACATCTGTGTCCATTCGACGTTTCCCGGGACTAGGGGACGACATGTTAATAAGATTTATCCTTGTTACTCGACAGTCGATTTTCCAAAACAACAACAGCAGCTATGGCGGAGCTCTTCTGCTATGAGATTACGTTATGTCACGTGACCAACTTAAGACCTCCCCTTTTATTTCTCATAACTTTTTGTTACCAAAGTTTTTGTGACAAAAACATTAATTGATAATAAATTTAGCTCGAATTTTTAGCTTTAAAAAAAGAGTATTTGAAATGTTAATCAAATTGAAAAATGAAAATTCTTAGTCAAATAGGTCACAGTTCATTCATTGATTGACAGCTGCTCCTAAAGAGGAAATACGCTGGCAAGAGCAGTCAGCTGTTGGATGTAAACAAAACGAGCATGCTGACTGGTTTATTTTTAGAAATCGTTGCTTGGCTTCTTAGCATGCGCATAACTTAACCCACTTTTGTTACTTGTGCAAAGCCCTTTTTAGAACATTGTTTTTAGTTAACAAATTATTATTGAATATGAAAATGGATTTCAGTTTATGTTTATTTATGCTAAAATTATTTAAAATTTTATGATGACAAAAATGCGGTAATAATGATATAATAAATATCCTGACCTTTAACCTTTTCATGACTATTCTTGACATTCGCCCCTGGCATTTGTCGTAGATTTGCCTTCAAAAATAGTTCAAAGGCTATAATGTAGAATATATTAACTATTTATGCAAGGTTATAAAAGAAAAAAAAAACAACAACAAATAAAAATTTCTGCAATGTAACTGGCATATACGGTTTTATTTAGCAAACAAGAACAATAATTAACAAATTCCCAAGTTAATCTTAAAGTTTAAGGATAATAAAAATCAACTTTTGGCTTTACTTTAACTTTTGTGTTTAAAAAAAAAAATTGGAAGAAGGGGCGGGGCATATTTTCTCTTTTATTATTTTAAAAATTTATTGTAGACATAAAATATTTTTTTTTGGCTGTTACAGTTAATATTTCAGCTCTTTATTTTTGACTCTGTTAGTAAGAAAATATAAAATGAGAGTACGCCTAATCTTGAAATTATGACGTCATGGTAAAATTCTGTGACCCTATGACCTTGAAAAGTGTTGTCGAACTCTACAGTAAAAAATACGAGAAGATGTTACATTTGTTAAAACATCACTATTGACAAAGTTTACGTGATGTTTCTTTTAAATATTAGTATTTAAAATATAATAAGGTCGTACATAAATTAACTTGTCATGACCAATGAACCTGATGAACTGGTATTTGGCTACACAAAATGTTGTACATCTCGCAAATCTCCACTAATACAGAAAAGGGAGCAAACATGCTAGTGCTAGTGTATTATCCACATCTAACAGATTTTAATTTAATGATTTAATTTTACTTTCGTTCATTGTTCCTTCATGTCGAAAATTTCAACTTTCATATGTAGGTCTATAATTTATGAACTAATTTAAAATTCTAAAAACTATCACAGGAGATTACAGAACAAAATCAAACAATTAAAAAAAAAATGTTCACACGCTTGTACAAAAATGTATTAAAAAGTATAAAATAAATGTTCCGCCAAAATTTTGAGTTGTTGCAGTCAAATATTTAAAAAAAAAAAAAATTAAATTTAAAAGCGTGGGGTAGCCTACTCATGAAATACAATGATGTATTGTATACGTTTGCATTGCCATTGCTGCAAGTAGGGGTTATTTTACACACTTGTTATGATACAGAATATTTAATCATGGAAATATGAGTTATCACATCTGCCTTGCATTACTGTTGCATGCTTCCATCGATCGTGGTCTATTCAAGTGGAATCAAATTAGCGATACCGCTGCGTGCATGTCTCTGCGATTTATTAAGAACATTGAGTTCATGGGCGTCCTACGCCATTTTTTAGTCACATGACTGAAACAACTCTGAAAAGTTTGGTTGGGGGACCTCAGACAAACTAGCAAACGGACAGAGCAACCTAAGACAAAGCGTATAATAAAAATGAGGCTTATTATCGTTTTATCATACATGGTTAAATATTTCTTTCTTTTCCATAGAGGAAAAAAACGACATTCGACAGGAAAAGGGAGACGCATGTTTATATGTAAAATAAACTTTTATGTTACACATTAAAACAGGAAAAAGCATCAATCTTACTTTTTCTAATACTTTTTTAATAAACATTTTTTCCAAAAATTGTTAAAATAATAACGCTTAAATAATTATTCTTGCTGTCAGCAAATTAAAAAAAAACAACACATATCCGAGACTACTGCACATCAACATTAAGTTTTTGAACTCTCACCCTGGGACTATATTTTTACCCATTTCTGAAGATAAATTTGTTTTAACAATCAGTTTTTTAATTTTTTATTTGTAACTTTTAATCAGTAGTATCGTTGACGAGTCATGTCTCTGAAGTTATATTGCACACATTAAAGACATTCAACAGATTGAGTAGTTAATTGGTTTATCCACTGTCTCCATTGAACCCGCATGAAGGAGAAAATGACATCAGCATCACCAGTTCTTTCCACTCCGACAGATCCATGGCACTTCGCATTCAATCACGGACACCTTGCTGATTTACACCACCAAATCCATCTAGGTCTCATATCAAGCGATGAGACGTCTCCTCCTGGTTTCTGACTGTGCACCACTTTAACCACTCTAGAATGTGTCTTCCTTTCGAGGTACCGTGTAACCTACAGCTCATCTTCCCCCTTTATCAGTCGCGACTATAGTTGGTAGGGCGGTGCCGAGGAAAAGTGTCCCCCGGGGAGAATCCTGAAAATGCCACCCCTCAATATAAAGGAAAAAAAAACAACAAATTGCCGCTCGGGGCAGACTTTTCAACCCGTTTTCTATGAGAAGTACATGGGATTTTATCCTTTTAGTCACTATTAAGGTCATATCTAAAGATGATTCCCCCCCCCC